GTCATCTGGGGAGGATTTTAGTACAGCACCAGACTAGACTAGCAGCACAAGAATGAGACAGAGGAGAACGGAGTGAGTGATCCTATCTACATTATGACATTATTACCTAAAAGGTACCTTGACAGGGTCGGATCCCTGCGCACGCGCACACACACACACGCACACGCAAACCTGAATAGCTGGAAAGCATGTGTGGGTAAAGACGGGTGGGAGGGATGACAGCTGACCTTTCACCAAATACAAAACTGCTTTCACTTGGCAAACCGCAGCAGAGAGGCATGCTTGCGACACCAGTCCCATAAGGGGGCCTTCTTCTGGGTGAAGGTGAGTAGAATACCTGCTATCTGGAGCTCATGCTAAGCAGACAAACTCGGAAAGAACTGGAACACCCAAGAGGCCTGTTGGATTCTTAACATAAGGTTCAGGCTAAATAAGCAACATCAGAACAGACAACCTGGAAAAAACTGATAGGATTCTTTTTTTGTATTAACATAAACATAGCTCCACTATGAATACTACTCTGTGAGGCAACCATAATAAGCAAGTCAGGCTGTGTAAATGATGTCAGCAATAACAGGGGCATTAAAATGCGTCTTCACCTCCAGGTATCTGCAACTGGAAGGAACAGCCCTCTCTTCTCAGAAACAAAACGCCTCTTCATCACTATAAATCTTTTGCTTACCAGCATGACAATTACACAATTCACCAGAAGCCAAAACGCTTGCATTTCACAGGAAGCCGGCTGTGAAGCCGTCTCCATCATCATCTACATCTGTGTGTCAATGCCCTCAGCAAACCGCACACCAGCATCATCTTACAATGATATGCACCATGAAGCACATTTTTTCTTGGTGCAAAAAAAACAGGAACAACAGAGAGTGAGACAATTTGGCCTTTGTCTTAATAAGTGACGCAGCTGGCATATTGTGCAAAATTGTTTCAATTTAAAAAACAATCATCACTAATAGCTCACATTTCACTAATATCCCAAATCCATTGTCATTGTTGATGTTCATATATATTCTTCGATATATATTATATATATTTATATTGTACATAGGAGTTCATTGTTCATGCTTAGTTTCTATGTTCTAATTTGTTGTCTTTAATGTCCTTGTTTTGATATTTTTCTTGTTTATTTGTATACAAACGCATACAGGGCGAATAAAGCTGACTCTCATTTCACTTTCATTTCTCAGGTAGCAAGTTAATATTCACCTCCCCCACAGGTAAATGGTCCATGAATAACATCACCTGAGACCTAAGTCAAGATGCACAGAACTATAGAGGAATAACATATCATTTGCCCAGCCTTAGATAATTATGTTATGTGAAAGAAACAAGGACATTTAACCCCCAGTGACAGCCACAGCCACTAAGGAAACATAAACCCCTGGATCACTCTATCAAAAAGCTTCTTCTCCAAGCAGTGCCAATAAAAACTGGTTATGAGGAGTGCTCAGATTTCTTCACTTTCAATACTTCGTGGCAAGATGGAAGGCAGTACACTTCATCGCAACAGGAGGGCTGAATAGCACCATAAGTAACCCTGTGCTTTATAATAGGCTGAACTATAGGAAATGGATTTATACCCACTGGGGAGCACATGATGACAATCTACGAGTTAACAGCACGGCTTAGCACAGGTAGTACAGCGGTCTCCATCTTGTAATCCTCTCTCATTTCCCAGCAGTGATGTGATAAAATAAATTCAATGACATCAAGCTTTTCTTTTTTTAATTAACATTCAAAAAGCGTAAGGATTAGGCCTCACTGGTATCACACTGCCCATATCCGAGTGCCTGGCACATGCAATAAGCCTCACTGGATCGCAGTGCAGACATCTAGGTAATTATCTTGTGTCTACTAGTGTGCCCCACACCCGTCCAATGCTCACAGCGGAGCTTTTCAAGTCAAAAGGGAGAGTAGATGACAGACATAAAAAGGAAATGAACAATGTCCTGCAGGCCCCGAAATGGCTGTGGTGCATAATGGTATAAACCCCCACCTCAATGCAAGACAATTGTGGCACTAAAGCCAAGGCACATTAGCCAGGCAGCTCCTAATTAACAGCCTGCCATGATGTGCCCGCTGCTGTGATGCCATTTGTCTTCTCAGGCGAGCCCAACAGGCTAGATTGTCACCCATGTGTTAAAGTACGAGCAGGGTATTTTGTTTAAAGTCCTTCCAGTTTTCAAATACATGGTTTAAATGAATATATTAACTGATTTAATGGCCACGAGTCTATACTATAGCTGCAGATTGTACAGGCAAATCTGAGTCAGTCATAAACTAACTATATTCAATTTGTCCCATGCTAGAAATAGCAACGTTATTTGATTCAACGTTAGCTATACAGACAACTTTGAAGCTAATAATTTCATGGGCAGCTCAGCATTAGCTTTAAGCTAATTCACTCAACTATACAATACAAAGAGCTGGCAAGGTGCCACCGACGAATACCTATAGAGCCACCTCTATTTTTGTGAATCCACTGATTTATTATGATTTGCAAAAATGATCTGTGTCGGTAACTTGGCACCGACGTTTCCCCTTCCTGGCGGTAGCTTAGCTTAGCGAAGCTAACGTTTAGCCTCCAACCCCCATTCAGATTCTCTCAATTGACGTTAGCTAGCTATCACTTCCAGTCCACTCCACCCAAACCCCCTCCCCCATGACACCCACCCAGGAAAAAAACGTCAAAATCGGTTTAAATGTCATACCTGGAGTGAGCCTGTGTTCGCCTCCTCCTATGGCCGGAGGAGACATCGAGTGCGTTGGGCTGTCGACTGGAGGACGGAGGTTGCATCTTTGCGGCGACGGAGTGCCAGGAGTCCCCGGTAGAGGGTTGCACCTTCTCCGCTTGGGAGACTGGGGACTGAGGAGGGCCTCAAACTCCATCGACCGCTTTAATGTTGCCCCACAAGCCATGTTGTTAGCTAAAGAAAATTGGAAAAGTAAGTTGGAGGAAAAACGACCCGCAAAACTGTTTTTTTTGTCGCTCGTGGTTTTGTACGTTAAACGTTGCTCGATTTTTCTTGAGCCTTTCTTCCTCTCCACAACAACGGATTTTCTTCTCTGAGTAGTAAACCAACTGCCGACCGTGCCTGCTGAATTTTTAAAACGTCACAATGGCAGACCGTACCATTGAAGAAAAGAGGGGGGAGCTTTAATATTTACAACATATTTTGTTGTATATTTCACTAATTTTAATTGTCATTCTTACCCAAAGGTATTTCTTAACATTGCTAGTAATACATTATTGACTCAATTGGCAATTGTTTTTCTCTTTAACAGTCTTTACGCTACGATTTCTTGCCACCCAAACCTATTGATGTTGTTGAGGGCTTTGGTTTCCGTTGAACTTAAATTGAAGGTTCACGAGACGTCTGGTGGTGGAGGTCAGGTAAATCAAGTAGATTAAAAATTAACTCCAGTGTGATTTTACTCTTTAATCTCCTTCAGAAAGCGGGAGATTTTATATATTTACTGTCTGTCAACTAGTAACCGGCTTCCCATTGTATTTTCCCATTGTGTTTGCAAACTTAACACAATGGCTGCATGGTAATAATGACTTAGAATAGAGTCCCTGAGCAGCAAAGTTCTCGACCACACTATACACTGTGACTGAAAATAGGAACTGTACTTGTATGTACAAAGCATTTGTATAGTATGTATGCTAGAGATTATTTTCTGTTCTTGTCTTGCTTTGTTTTATCAGCTACATTGCTCCATTTCACACCTGTTGTATCACATGCATCAACAACCAGTCACACATTCACCACAGTCTCTTGTTTTGAGTAACCCATTGAAACAAGCAATGTCCAGAACTGAATCACCCTTCAACTTATATTTGCTGCAGTCTCCACCACTGGGTGTGCATCTTGATGTGACAGTTTGTTTTATGTGCACTATGTTTCCCATGTGATGATAACGGTCTCACTGGGATTAAAAATCCCTTTTACAGGAGTAGCCTGACTTTTTAAATGCATAATACATGTAGGTTAATACAAACAAAACAAAGTCTTATGCAGTCCTTATTGTTATCACATAACCTATGCAAAGAACTAAACATCAGCCAATCTTATGCAGTATTTATTTCAGCTTGCATCTTGAGTATCTTAAACAGAACTGCTAGGAAGTATTCAGCAATATCATTTAAAGTAGCATTTTAGCATCTCCTCGTAAAGACAATGAGCAATCATATTATTGGTTGTTTCATCAAATATGACAGAGGACAAATGTATATACTGTGTTCTTTAGTTATGTCTTGTTATTATGTGTAGGGTTTAAAATAATAACATCCGCCCATTGCCAAATTCATGATAATTTTAGAGGCTGTAGTTTAAAAAATGCTCTTGAATTTTATACTGAGAGGAGTTTCTAATATTTGGTCTATAACTTCATTCGTATACATGGGGAAGCTTATTCAAAATAATACAAATGCCACCTCAAATTAGCCTATAACACATCCTTTCACGCATCTCTAAAAATGTTTTTTTTAAAAGACAGTATTACTTTTATGAAGGTAGAATTTATTACAGGGCTGTGTTTGTAGACCCAATGACAAACTACAAACTGTGACTAAGTGGAGAGCAGGGCCGTCCTTCAATCAGAGGATCGGAGGTTCGATCCCCGGGTCCGATGGTGATGTGTCCTTGAGCAAGAAACTTAACCCCCCCAAAAAATTGCTCCTGTAGCTGTACCTACGGTGTATGAATAGAATCTGAATTGTAAGTCGCTTTGGATAGAAGTGTCTGCTAAATGACTGTAATGTATATGACTTGTGATAATCCCCACTGTTGGTTTTTGGGAACAGCGTGTATAAAAATGCTTTGTACTCATTTTGTTCCCACTTCTCCCATCTCTTGCCCCCCCCCCCCTCCCCCCCCCCCCCCCCCCCAAAAAATGGATTTTCTGACATGGCAGACTCACAGTATTCAGCATGTCACCTCTAGCAGCAAAGAACCACCCAGGAGATTCATACAGAGACGGGGACATTTATAAATCATTGCAAACACAAGACTGCTGACTTTTTGCCACTTGACAATGATTAAGTAAGGAGTAAGATTTACGCGTGGAATTTGCTTGAAAATAAACATATAAGGATAGAGTATGGTCAAGTATTATCTTTAATCAGTTGATGGTTGAAACGTGTTCGGTCTGGTATGTGCACCTGTGAGTTTAAGTGAAATGTCATATAGTGTGTGCTCTGCTGCAGCTGCCAGTTGTCACAATTGCAAAGAGTGTTCTGGTGCTTGTGCTCGTTCTCCTCCTGGCATGTGCTCCATTTACCTCGGCACACTGCTTGGATTCACGTGTGCGGACATTGTGTGAAGTGCATGGGGCTTTTGTGGAGTCCTGGCATTCATGTGCTGATTGGATAAGGCAACGCACATCGTCCTCTGTCCCTGTACGCTCAGGGACAAATACTCAAAAATAAACAAGCGTACCCACAAGAAATGCACCTTTCCACCACGTGGTGAACCCAAAAGTTAAGTCAGCACTTGAGTTCACAGTATGTCACAGGGGTGAGAGCGTTAAAGCACTGACATTGGAGATGGGTAAGTCAAAGGTTAAAGGTTAGCTGGCCACATGACATCATCTCACTTCCAGTCCAACATAACAATAAACCTTTTGTCTGACCTGAACCAATGCCCAGAGATGATAAGCTTTATTTCCACTGGAATCTGATACTAGAATGGTTCTAATTGTTTATTTTTAAAGGTTAATGGTTTCTCTTTACAAGCTGTCTTCACATTGTGTCTCATAACTACAAGTAAAACACATTATGTAACATGTTTCCGACATTTGATAGGCTTTCTGATCTGTCGGATCACTTATGGGGCTACTAACAATATTCAAGAGTTATTGTTGAATAGCCTTGAACACAATAGCCTTGAAGTACATACCAGCACTAATAATTTGATGGGAACGAATCCTGCTCATATTTGATTCTTCATTCGATGTCAAACACGTATCTATCTGTACAACTACTCTTTAATTTCAATCATTGTCTGATGTTTGGCTGCTGATTGTTCACCATCTCTGAGATTGAGTTAAGCTGTGTGGTTCTGTTCCTGGGCATCTCATCCTCAGTGATGGCAGTACAGTTGTTGTCTTCTGTGGAGGGTAATCCTGGGGTTAAAGCCTCTGTAGATTTTCTACACCTTCCAATCTCACACAGCCTTTGTAACAACTGCAGCAGAGCGACTCTTAGCTCTCGACAGCGCAGTGCATATAGCAGTGGGTTGACTGCAGAGTTAACCAGGCAGAGGGTGCTGCAAAAGGCGAACGCTCTCTGTTGGGTACGAGTCAGGACCACTGAGACATCAGCTAACATGAAGGAGAGTGCGGGCAGCCAGCAGCTCACCAGTATGAGTAGGATCAGGCCAAAGGTACGCGCCAGCCGGATATCCATCCTCATGCGGGCCTGTCCTGTCCCCGCTGCTCCCTGGAGGCTGGTCATAGAGGACTCATGGCGGTGGGCCTTCCACAGGATGAGAGCATAAGCACACAGAATGAGAGCCAGAAGCACCAGTATGAAGCTGGTCCAGCAGGCCAGATAGCCCTGGCTGATGTAGGGAAACAGGCGTGAGCAGGGCGGATTAAGCCCTGTGGGACACCTCCAACCCATCAGCGGCAAGAAGGAGATGAAAATGGTGGCGCTCCAGAGGATCAGCAGGCTCAGCACGGCTCTTCGGCGGGTCAGCAGCACCTTGTAGCTGGAGGCCTGCTGGATGCAAAGGTAGCGGTCCAGAGCGGTCAGCAGCAAACTCCCCACCGAGCTGGTGAAGGCCATGGTGACACCACCTAACTTGAAGAGGTAGGCAGTGGGGCCGTCACTGCGGCGAAAGAGGTGAAAGTACAGGAAGCTGGTGGTGAAAAAGCAGCTGGCGAAGACATCTGCAAAAGCAAGGCTGGCAATGAACAGATATGAAGGCCGCTGCCGGAGGGAGGCTGTTGCAGCGATCACTCCCAACACGAGAGCGTTTTCCAGCAGAGTGATCGGACCGGCCAGGAAACAGATTGAGCCGATGGCTGTCTTCTCGGCCTTGGTGAGAACCATGTAGCATTCCAGATTCTCACAAGACCTGTTAACTGTGAGAAGATCACAGGTTTATAGCAGGACAGATTTTATTGGACAAGTGTACTGAAACTATAGCTGTCATTATAAATGCACCCTTAAATTACATTTGCTAAAAAACATTATCTTGAACCATTTTAGATTCTAATGAAGCAATGCATTTTTCTTTATTGAGGCCACATACCTATCTGTGAGGAGGTGTTATCTTTGGCTTCTGTGGGTCCTAAAGAAGTCGAAACCTCCCATTGCTCCATTTCAACTGTTACCGGAGGGCCAGTACTGTATTTAGAAAATATCATTGAACTTAAATAATAAATGTGTAAGACAAGACCAAACACACATAGTAAGATCCACACATCTACAGCAAACATTATATAATATATATATTATTTTATTGATAACAAACCTTTTTTAGATGAAGTGATTGAAGCAGGCAACTTCCTGTGGAGAAACAAATAAAGTGGAAAATGTGATGTATTTTTCTCTCTTTGTCAATATTGAACTTGGTGCTTAAAGGGAACATGAACATCTGTGAGTCAGAACAGAAAGTCACTTAGAGGTTAGGGTAAACAGAGAATGACCATTACTGTATCCACTGGTGCTGATATTGAAGAGATGGTTGCAAGCAGTCACGGTTTAAATACCATGCCATAAACCACTTCTTGCTGAAGGAATAATGAACGGATTTTGTTTGAAAATCCCAAAAAGCAAAATGGTTGCACCTTTGTCCATAATATGTAGAGACATTTAATATAACCAGCGTGCTCATGGTGCGTTGAGTGGGATGGTATCACTTCCATCAGCTGTAGCTTTAGCTGTACCCTAAAGCATGGCAATTTGTTTTCAGAGCTTTTATGCACACAGCTCACAAATGGTCTAGTGATAGCCTGCACCTTCATTTGACCAAGTGTGTCCAATGAAACTTTGACAAACAATGCTGTTGAGTTTTTCAAATGAATTATTTTTGGCTCACACAATGTCATTATAATTGAGAAAAGAAACCAGACAGCTCACACCAAAACAATCCGGATTGATCAATAGCACTTCAAGTAGGAGGAAGATATGTATTTTGTGATAATTGTTTTTGATTTATGTCCCTTTAAGTGATTTTTTATGAACTGGGCTGGACCAGAGAATTAATAATTAATCCATATTTCCACAATCCCTTTTGCAGGGATTTTAGTGAGTGCATTCAGTTATCTGCAGAGATGGACATAATAGCAAACTCATGTTGTTAGCCTATTATCACAACCAACAGGATGAAGACTGCCCCCTTTTGGTATTAGAGGGGATTATATTGGAACGAAAAACTGTACATTGGTGGCTGAAGGTCACCGCAGAGATGAACAATCTCCTGTGAAGTGCATCACCTTTGTGCAATCAATAGATTCAACTAATGCTGTGATAAACAGAGAGTGGCCACCCATAGCTGCTCCCAGTGAGGCTTAAATTATAGAGATTATATTTTATAGGCAAAAACATGACACAATCACATGAATGGAAATGACAGTAAGTTTGAAAGAAAAAAGCTGGGAAACAGTGAGGAAATAACACAAAAAGAATCATTAAAGGTGATCAAGGAGAGTAGTTGTATATGATGCAGTATAAGTGATTACAAACTAAAGGGAACACAATAGGCTCGTTCGAGATGAGTCAGTTCTGCGCAGACTCGATCACCGACGATCGGCGCACAATGCATGCTGGTTAGATTTGTGTCCGACTTGAGCCCGACTTGCTCTGACGTCATGCACACGTCGTCAACGATGACCTCACGAGAGCCAGTTGCTCTCCACCGACTGCATGACCCAAAGCATCCCAAAGACCCCAAATCGTATTTTTCTGTGTAATTATAATATTTAACGCTCGATTGTTTGCTATTAGTCTCATGTTGTGCAATGAAGGTTTAATCTAAAATCTCATGCTGTCTGATTGATAATAATAATAAAGCTGTTTTATACCACACAACACAAGCATCAAAGTGTTTCACAGAGACATAAAAAGAACAAAGGATAACATACAATGCAGATACACACATGAATACATCCGATTGAGGTCTGTTAACTACAATTAGCAAGTCCAAGTGCAAGTACAGATCGGATCTAACAGGATACAATTATTTCTGTGGCTTCCTGTTTATTTTAAAGGCAGCTGAAGACAGTCTGAATTGCCAAAGCTTCCTCCAGCTCTCCTCCATGCAGGCGAGGCGCAGTTCATGTCGAACGAGCCCTTTAACCCAATCAGGTCACCGTGGCCTTCAATCCAATGTTTCCCCTTTATTCCGTTTCCAGTGACCATTATTTCTGTTTTTCATCACACATTTGAAACTTCCTTTTAAAAGCATAGAACATATATATATGAGCAGAAGTGGTGGAAGTAAATTACTTTCCAGAAAGGCCCTTATTGACATGAGGGACAATATTTCACAATTCCACTGGGCCATATGCGTGCAAGCACTTGTGGATATTACACCACCTCAGGCTCTTTTGTGTTTTGACTGTTAAGAAACATCATTCTTATAAAACCGGTTGCCTCTTCAAAAAAAAGCACCAACAGCCGTGTACAGAAAACTTCATTTATAATTAAAAAAACATACAGGCGTCCATTTTAGTTGCTTCACTGGCAACATGCACACTGAAATAATGTGGCAATAACCCCTTGAGTCAGTGTTTTGGCATGCCACATTATTTCAAAATATAGCAAGCCCTTCTGGCACAAGAAGAAAAAAAGAAACGTCTAGTGTTTGTAGGAGCAGCAAAAAAAGAAGCATTGTAAAATTGGGCTAAAGTAGCAGATTTGCTGCACAAATACACTTAATGAATGACGGACAATAAAAACATATTTTTGAAAATAAATTTAATTTCACAGAGATATCACAATGCCAATTTAAAAGCAAATTAGGAAATTATTACTTAATGTCACTGGATTTTAAACCTGTAATTAAATAACCTTTGAACAGCTTACCTTGTGTGGAGTTTTCTGCTTTTCTTCTTATTTTAGGGGATCTGAATTAGGTCCCTCAGCAGCACAACAACCCCAGCATGATCGCACAGACCTACAAACCTGACTGATGGCAAAGTGCATGACTGAGGGGAGACGATAACGAGGGAGGCTGTGATGACACGAGGGAGAGAGGGAGGGAGGGAGAGTGAGAGAGAGAGAGAGAGAGAGAGAGAGAGAAAGAGAAAGAGAAAGAGAGGGAGAAAACCAGATGGAAAGAGATGAAAGAGCCCAAATGATGTATTAGAAGGACAGCTGGAGTCTGTGATGAAACTGAGAATGGCAGTAAAGTCCAATTTATATGTCTGATTATATGTAATAGAGGTGAAATGGAGAAGATAAAACATTAATACATTTAGTGTCATGATGGACGCAGGGGAGGAGAGCACTTAAGCGTGTGTGAAAGACGTCGATGAAAGAAAGAAGAAAACACATCACCCTTTATTAAAAAAAATATGAATGAAGTGACCTCAAAAATATTTACTCCTGACCTGGGAGTCATTAATAACCTGATAAGTGGACCTTGAGTTAAGATTATTGTTGCAAACTACTCAAATTCATAACCAAGATGGCTATAAAAGACTGTTGAATTATTTCCATTCATGCAGAAACTGTTTTTCCTTCCACCTCTTTCGAATACTTTGCACTCATCTTCATTTGACAGACAGCATTTGGCATCACAAATGCAGTCACACACTTCATCACATGATGGTTTATGATATTTTTACATTTTATATATTGCTTGCCTTCATGTGGACAGAAAGCACAAACAAGATAACAAACATTTGACTGCTTCAGTTGTTTGATTCTTGTTTACATCCAATCTGCAGTGAGTGCTGAGGTGTGAAAACCAGCCTTCGTTGCAAATTCGCGAGGATTTAAATTGTTCTTTTACATTTCTTTGCTGACTAATGCCCAGTGAAGTCAGTGTGGGTCAGGGTGTAATACTGCTTGCAGTACAACAGGGGGCAATGCTAAGCAGCCATGAACTAGTGGACATAATGAAAGGTTGCTCAGTTTTTAATCTTTATCATTCTGCATAGATACAAAATCTGAACTCAACAAGCACTTCCTTCACAAATTAAGGCTGTTTAATTTGGATTAAAGCCCTGTGGTGAGAGTTAAGTGCATTTGTAGCTCAATAACAATTCAATCAGATCAAAAACCTGAGGCATTCTGAAATGAGTTAGCATCCTATTTTAGAGAAAAGTATGCCAAATGAAATAGAAACTGGGACTCGCAAAAGACAAGACCAGGAAATAGGTCAGAAAGAGATGTGTTTTTGATGTCATGTTTATATTATATCTAATAATCAGGCGGCGATATCTGGTGCACTGTGTCCTCTGCTGATGGATTCAGCAGGCCAGAAGGCAGGAAATGTGATTAGGAGCAGACAGCACAGCTTCAATAGGATTTCTTCTCAGTCACTGTCCGGCCAGGTGCAGCTCACGAGCACAGACCACAGGACAGAAGAAAGCCTGAAATGTTTAATTATTGGATTATATCATCCGGTGACACAATCTCATTTTTAGAAAGCACTTTGTTCTCCTGGTCCTGTGTTTTACCCTCTTCCTTCACAGAGCAGTAAGAAAAAGAAGTGTGTTGGGTTGTTTAAACATGGCAGTGAACAATGGCAATGGCAGAAGACATTTAAGATTTGAAATACATCTGAAGGACATCTCAGCACCTAAAAAACTAAATGTTGAGAGAGAGGATCCAACAAACTTACATCAATGTGATGTGGGCCAAACACTTGATTCTCCATAGCTGGATGGCCTGCTTGAAGGCCATCCAGGCACATGATAATAACCCCCCCAATGCTCTCAATTGTATTGTTTATATGTATTTTTTCATTTAATTATTTGTTTTTTCAACAGCCATGGGGTCATATCAGTAGGCGATAAGGTTTAGGTATTGGCACTGGTATTTGTGTTGCTTATCTAATCTAATCTAAAGTTTTCTTTTTTTATTTCTATGCTGTAGAGACAGAGATGTAAATACAAGTTGTGAGTGTCTTTGACTAGACTGTATACGCAGATATTCAATAATTGGTGTAGGTTCTATAAACGAGTGCATTCAGGCTCCTTTGTGTCTCTGTCCGTTCGCCGAACTAGACTGGAAAAATACATTTAAAAAAACTTGGCAACCAAGAAAAGAGATTTCATTTGAACATATTTGCTTCTGGTATTACATAAGATCTAGGATATGGGACAAACTTAGTGCTGACGAGTGTGAAACTGGTTCTGCTTCTCTTCTTGCACGTCACTGTGTGTGGGTGGGTTTCGCAACTCTTCTCACACTCTTCAGATTCATGTGAGCCCGTGTACACCAAATAACTATAAATGGCATAGAGACAGAGATATGTCTGTATATGCAGCTTATGCTGTGTGAGAAGTAAACAACAGCCTTTGTACACCACTGTTGTTTTGAATATATCTTCCATTCCACTTCCCAGGATGGCCTACCGTACAGTCACTATGTCTATGACGAGATCACGCGACCAGGGGCGTTTGTAAAGAAGCCTTTACAACCGGTTAAATGTGGAGATACGTCCACCTCACATAATCTCTACGACCCGCAGAAGCCTCTCCATGACCTACTTTCCATACATAGTTGACTCTTGATGGGAACAGCCCCCTTACAAAGGTTGCTTTGCTTTGGGGAGTGTCCTTCCATGGCCTGCAGCTGTATACACTGGCTGAAACCAAATGTGTTGTGCAACTGTTATGACGCTTTAGACAAGGTAGAGGGGAAAGTCACTTTAACCGTGGATTTCCCATAAAACCAGCATCTCCCATTACCATTGTCCTTGTAAAGACTAAGAGAAGTGTAAGGACTGCATTTTTCAACATTCATTTAGTGTTATAAGAATATAGAAAAGTGATATATATATATATGAAGCCTTAAAGCTGAATAGCAATACAAGTAATACCAGAAAACTCCAGGCCATATAATAAGCTTTAAACAATGATTTGAAACCAATAACACAATGATTCACGGGGTAAACGGGTATAGCCTTGTGTGTTCTCAGTCAGTTAGTTCGGCTAAACACTAATCTTTTTTTAGCAACCCCCACACACATCTGGAGTCCATTCACCATTTGGGGTGTTGTGGCTCACATGTCGCTAGATGTATGACAGCGTGATGTTTACATGATACTCATTTTGCATCGTAGTTGTTTAACTCTTGAGTTAGGCCTTTGTAAAACTCACACTGGACTATGGCACAAAAGTTGTAACAACACAATGCACCTTATCTATTCAATTAAAAGCCTAATATCTTAACATAGACAGGAATCAAAACAGGAAAATCTCACTTGTCCTTTCCCGTTGTCATATACTCTCGCAGCAGGTGGACATTGATATGAGGGTTAATGGATTTGTTTCAATAAAATGGTCAAGGGTTTTGTCTTAATCAGAGGACTGAGACGTGGGGGATGGGCAGCAGCTCACAGAGAAGAGCTGTTGTGTAGGCTCTCATTACAGCCTGTTGCAGCTGTTTCTCAGCACACCAGTTAACCCACACAAACAGGAACTGTGGAACAACAACTCCCGTTTTCATACAGCAGAAAAGCTATGAAGTAGGCTTCATCAATAAATCTAAACTCTGGATGTGTTTACCTTATTTGAACGAGGGATTGACAATACATAATACAAATATATATATATACATATTGTTCCCCCAAACCTCATTATTACGTTGCATGTAACCGTGGAGTTTTTGTTACGTAAGATAGCGTGAAAGCGGAATAGCTATGGTGCTTAGAAAGTTTTTTTCTCGTCGCTGTTTTCCTCACGTCTCAGGAAATACCCGAGGTCCAACAAAGGAATGGAGAAGAGTGTCAGCGATTGACGTCACCGGTCTGGCAACAGGCGTGAATGCGGTCTGGCTGTCTCTTCGCTGATTGGCTGTGCGGTTTCGAACTTGGAACGTGATTGGTCGGATCCGGGCTAGAACGAGCTACATATCTCCAGTGTGGCTTCCATTTTGTTGCAATTCAGACGGAGTCGGGAGAGAGTGTCAACGGCGTCGCGCGCGGCTACTGTTTAAACACCACCTAAAGCTTTCGAGGGTGACGGGGATTTTTGTAGGAAATATAGCTTTGCTGTGCTTCCTCACATAGTCCGCCGAGGGATCACATATAAAGGCTTATCGCATATTTTCTTGGACGAAGGGCTCTTCGACAACCAAGCTCGAGGAAGTCGGTAAGAGAAGCTGTTTTTGTGCCTCGTCGCCATATTGAGCTCACAGTTCCTTTGTTATGGTTCGCTTCCAAAACCAGTGGAACTGAGACTGTAAACATGTAATTTAATAAACCTATAGTTGGGGTTATTAATTAAAAACCACGTCCGTCGAGATTATCATGGTCTTTTATTGTTTGTTTTTTTAAACCCGGAAATTATCTTTCCATCAAGCGACTTGGCAGGAACAACGCGACAGCTTGAGAAGTAGAATAACATGTCGCAGTTTGCTTATGCAACACTTTGTCATGATAATGGCCCACATTAACAGTTTTGTACACCTGTAATGTTTTAAGAACGGATGCCTACCTGCTTATTTATTTTTTAGAAGTATTCGCCGCAATGACGCACTCTGAAATACACGTCCGCTGATAGAAAACATGAATGCACTAAACGGTAGAGAACCGTGAAAGTCAATTTAGCATCTCTAACTGACATTTCCCCCCCCCCCCCCCCCAAAAAAGGTCTTCTTGGAGCATCGTGTGCCGAGTGTGAATTGATGTTCAGCTCGGCTCTACGGGAAAACAACGCTCTTTGGCACATGAGAACTTTAGACCTCGCTGGACACAGAAGAAGTACAGCGAGAAGTAGACAGAGAACTACTTCGAGGACCTGGGACCCGATTGGAGGTGAACGATTGAAGAGAGATCTCTGGTGCATCGACTTTCTGATAACAAAGAGGTGAGCTGGGGCTGTTTTGCTCTCGGGTTCTGTGTGTGTGGGGGGAGGGAGGAGGAGGAGAGACTCAAGCTCACGCGTCTCCGCACGTAACCCTCTGTGCTTGTTTTCATTGACTTGCTGTGGGCGCGCTGCTGTGTGGACGGATTAAGCATTACCGGGTTTTACCCTTGTCAATAACAATGATACCGAGCTCTGATCACGAGTTAATGTTTCCGAGCACTTTCAGTAACGATGTATATTTTATATCAACGCAGGTGACACATAGTGCAGAAGCAGTATGGGAGGTGGAGAGAGATACAACATTCCAGTTTCCCACCCCGAGCGCCCTTTGCCCAAGAAGAACCACCAACTGGGCCGGGCTAAGCAGAGGAGCCGTGACCCGAACGTAGGAGCAGCAGTGTCTGCAGGAGGGGCGGGCGGCCTTCACCACCACAGCCACCGCCGGAGCGACAAAGTCGCAGCCTACCACAGGTCGCCTGAGGCGCGGCAGGCCGCGTCTGCAGAGAAGAGTGCTTCTGTCCGCTTTGCCACCAGCTATGGTCAGAACTGGGAGGGTGCGGTGTCCCACCTCAACACGCTCCTGGCCACACCGGGAAGTCCGAGCTACGCCGGGCCCAAGTTCAGCGAGCCGCCCTTGCCGAGCGTGTTGCCTAAGCCCCCCAGTCACTGGGTGTCCTTCCCAATGGGCTCCTGTGACCATCGGGAGATGATGGCCTTCCAGCTCAAGAGCCTGCTCAAAGTGCAGGCCTGAGAGGGATACCCACACTTGATCGAAAAAGCCCACAAATGAACTGGGACTCTCTTGAGGGCAACCTACCCACCAGGAACACCTCAGTGCTGTAATACTTTTAGCCGTTTTTAAGATTGACCTCTGTGTTAGGAGGCATTTGCGGCAAAGTTTGCTGTGAAATGGTCATTCAACACAAAATTTTTAAGCCAATGTTTCTAGATATTACAGCCCTGGAGCCTTGCTGGTCGGTAATGCCTGTTAGTGGAGTCAGTTTTCTGTGACTAATGACAAACTGGATATCCCTTCTACTTCTCTCTTTGTTTTGTTCTTTTTAATGTTGGCTATCAAAAGCAGATTTGAGTGTGCTGTTTTCCCCCCCAAACAACGGTTATAGTATAGGTCAGGTAAACTCCCATCACTTTTACGGTCCATTTCTGTGGACAGATGATGCTTTTCATTTACATAAGTTTTATGATGAGCCTTTAAGGTCAATTCTAAAGCTTCAGGTGCTAAAGCAAACTCGCATTTGTAGCGTTGTTGTTTTTTTGACTAGGGCCCACCTTCTCTTCTTTAATGTGTAACAATCCTTGTTTGGGATGGAAAGGACACTCAAACTGCAATTCTGCAGGGAAAAAAAGGTTTCTTACTGGAGCTGTACAGTACAGGTCAAAAGTATAACCTCGAACTGAAGGGTAATAAGAGACAATGGCACACAGGCCTCGGACTGTCCACTCCTGTACTTTTTTTATTGCGCTGTGCGCACATGCACTATAGGAGTTGAGCTTGTCCGAGGCCCATAACACTCTATCATAGCATTATTTTGTACAAGCCCTTGATTGTTGTGGTTGAAAGATATAAGAAAGTGCTGTGTAACCAAAGCAATGTTTTTGCTGTATTTAGGTTCTTTTTTTTTTTTCTTCTTTTGGACATCTTCAATGCGGTCGGCATTGTTGCCGTTGCCACTTAAACCTTACAAGCCCGTGTGGTGAAAGAGTCACTTCTAACCGTTCATCTGGTTTCAATCAGCACTGTTATTGCTCCTCGGTCTCTGCCTTTTTTTTCAGGACTGTGCTGCAGCTCCAACATGCGGAAGAGGGCCGGGCTTAGTTTGAGTTTCACTCTCTTAAGTCATGTGACATGGTCCTGTTGGCTGCATGCATTAGCAAGCAAAGGTAAAGCAGAGCGGAGGAGGGTTTCTGAAGTGAAGTGGCCCCAAGGCCTCAACATGAGGCGGGAGGTTGTTTGTTTACAAAATAGGTTTCGGTAGTTGACCATCCCATAATCAACACACATTTGCCTCTTGTTTACCCTCTTGCACTGCAATCAGACTAGTTTTTAATAAGTTACAGGCCAGGATGCTATTGAAATGGAGGTGTAATTGACTATCTCCCTATAGATACTCTTATTTTTTTTTTTTTTGTTTTTCTTTTCACTGAATTCTCTATTGAGGCTTTTTGCTTTCCCCTTGCAGAATTGGAGCCGTTTTTTTGCCAGCCTAAAGATGACAAAACAAAGTGTGAGAGCTTGTTAATGTGTTCAAGAGCCATGTAAATAATGAAATGTATAAAGTACTTGTAGCATATGTACATTTGCAGGCCGAGTTTGAGGCCTGTCTGACAAAAGTATTTTTAGTAATAACACTGAATGTATGAGACATGCTAAGGACGTGTCTTGACTTCAATGTCTTGACTTCAATACTGAAGAATATTTTTGTTAAAAAAGCTGCAGATAGCATTTCTCAGTACCCCTGCACTGTTATCTTTCCAGAGATCTTGCACATGTTTTTTATTGTTTTGTATTCTGCAGTGTAGGGTGACACATGCTTAGTGCGAATTAAGTAAAACTGCAAAACATCGATTGGATCCTAGAGGAGACTTGCCCATGTATCAATTTGAGTTCTGAATGTGCTTACATTATGTAAGTGATGTTTTTAATCTCGAGTCGACCTGTTTGTGCCTAAGTTGAAATCCATGCTGAAACTATTTTCGTTTGGTGGCAATGCCACACTTGACCAATGTATTTTTCAGACCCATCTTCAGTCGTCAGCTGTTCTTCCGCCAGCTGACAACTGAACTTGGCCTAATGCTGTTTTAAATTCTTACTATTGGTTGTTCATGTAAACATTTTTTCTTTCTTGCCCTGATCGAGTTGTGCATGGCAGTCTCCTTACTCTAAATTTGAAACAGTGTAAAGTGAATTGGCTGTTAATTTGTCCCCACTGAAATGTCACTGACTATGGAAAGAAAATGCCCTGTTTACAATTGGTATCAATTAGTTGAAAAAAAAGAAGCAATTGTTAAAGAAAGCACTCTGTGAAACAATTACAAAATTTTACCAAAAAAGAAATAAATCCCTTTCCCTCCCCCCCTATTCTTCTGTCTGCTTGAGTCTTCATCTGGTGCCAACACTTGATTATTCTATTACAGCATTCCTTGCAAGCTTAGTCACAGGATATTTGTTTAGAAAAAGTTTATTTTCAAAGCATACCAAGTAAAACTATAACAGTACTAAGGTACACTTGAAATATTCAACTCTATTACTCACTGAACAAAGTACATGATAAATTAATGCAGTTCATCTTAAACATTGTCACATAGCATACTGGACAACATATTGGGTAGCAACTAACTGCATTCAATACATTAGCCATTTGCAATACTAATCACTGCTACTGCAGTTTGCCTGCTGGATAATAGCTGAGACAGCATAGTTAGTAAATACTGATGTCTGGACCTGAAGTAAAATGCAACTTTTATTCATGTTTAGATTACACACAGAACCAAATTGAGGCATCAATAAACATGAATGTAAATGTGGATAAATCAAAAGTACAAAAATATTGGCTAAACTAACATTTTTCCCTCCTGCAGCAACCGACGCTACACAAGTCCAAAAACAACGTATCAGCCGTGCTTTTATGAATCACTAAAAGAAATGCATCAGCTCTCTGCCGCTCTCATCCCCCCTTTTGGCAACAGACTCCATTATGTGATGATAAAGAAAAGCAAACAGAGCCTAATACTCTAGTTATAACTGAACGGAAACATCCTCGGAGACAGATTAACGGGGCCTGGGGGGGAGACAGTTAGTGGCCTCCAGACTTGCGTCCAGCCCAGGACCTGGAGCGAGACCGTGAGCGGGACACGGATCTAGAGTAGGAGCGGGATGGAGATCGTCCCACAGGTTTCTGGGAACTGGAAGTGGGGTGGTAGTCTTCACCCGGGGTGTGGGACCGGGACTGGCTCTTTTTACCTTTGGGCACGGGTCTGGACGCTGAAGGGGAGCGGGACGCAGAGTGTTCACGGTGTGTCCTGTGGTGGTCACGAGGAGGCCCTCTGGACCTGGTGGGATGAACATCACTTAATGATAACTGTGGGTTGGAAAGTTGCAGTACAATGGCCCCCGTTTATTTTACATAGTACAAGATGAGAAATTAGACTACTTGTCATTTTCATGGCTTCTGCTCCGTCTGCGTCGACTGAAGGACCGAGACCTGTAGAGAGAACAAAACACAAACCAGTTCATCAGGGCGTAACTTTGATTCTGTGCAAGAGAACAATGAGTTATAATAATTAGGCAATTAGTGTGGCTTCCTGCTTTTACTGACCCAACTGGTTTACACCATCTACAGAGAGGCTAAATTAGTCAGGATAAATATCAAACTTTTAAATCATTAAATGTACTATAAAGTTGGGAAAGTTTCCTGATTTACATCTGTATATTTTGATGCCACAGTAGTAGCAAAGTAAAGTATTGACCCAGCTCTAATTACTACACACATTGTAGGACAGGACTGTCACTCTGCGACTAATTTGTAGATAAAGTGAGAAAACATTTGAACTATTAAAGTTACTCCAAGTACAATAAAGCAAACGCTGCCAGGACTCACTCTCTGGGGCTTTCAGACCTCCGTGGCCGGCGCTCATACGAGGGGCTCCGGGACCTGCGCCGCTCGTAGCTGCGGCTCCTGGAGCGTCTTCGGCGGCCGTCCCGATCGTCGTCGTTTCGGGAGGAACTGCGAGGGGAGTGCCGCTCCTTGGTCTTCATCTGGTTAGGAGCTGGATGGAAAAATACACACCAGAACATTTGTTGTTTATAAGCTCAATAGTTTCTATACAATGCCGAATGAGGCTTTACAGAAGTTAAATGTAATGATGATTTTTCTCTCCATACTCTTTCTGTCCCCCTGGGCGAACTGGATCTCGATCTGACGCCCACAGACCCATTTATGGTCCAGGTTGTGAAGAGCGTCCTCTGCATCCCGGACATCTTCAAACGTGCTGTGTTGTTAAGGCTTTTTATTTTGAGATTTAGAAAGTAGGGACAGAGAAGGCTGCACACATGCACAACAATTTAAGAAAATAAATAAAGAGGCTGCAACACAGGTTGACAGCCCCAGTCTATGAAACACAGCTCCTGATCATTAAAACAACATTAAAACTGAATCATTGGCCCCATTTGTGATCTCAAATTGTGAAGACAAGACAAATATTGATGATCAGATTCGGTAGGATACAAAACGTTTGGCTTGTTACCTTTAACCTTCAGCTTGATCTTTATTGTCTTGGCAGAAGAACTTGAGGTTTCCTGCTTGTCTTTGCCCAATAAACACTTTGCTTTTCCTCCCTTTGGTAGACAAATGGAAGCCTCTCCTCTTTGTATCTTCATGCTTTTGCTCTCTCTTTATTTTCCACTCTTTAATTCCACTATTGCTTGTCGCCTGGGTGTGTCTTGTGCTTGAATCTACTCTACAACCGCCTTTCAACTTTCTTTGGTGTGGGACCTCCAGAACTGTATCTTTACCATTCTAAGGCAACAACAGAAGAAATAATGGTTAGGAATAAGTTTGAATCTGAATACATGAATTATTAGACACAAATACTTCTCAGAAAATAACATGACATTAAAAAAAACAAAAAAAAAACACACACACATTGTCATTATCAGGTGTCGCTGAATCAACAGCAAACAAAAAGTCAGATGTAATGCTTTACAATCGCTCTGTTAAAACACCATTTCCAAATGAAAAGAATAAAGGATATTGAATGTATGCAAATCCTCTTCCCCGCCGCGTATAGAAGTCAAGTGGAATGTAGACGTCTACTATAGGCCCATAACGACCAAACTCACGCCGTATATCCTCTGGCCTAAAGTGTCATGAAATAAGCACATTTATTCCGCTGGCTGTCATATGAAGTTAGCCGGAGCTCAGTGAGTAAGATGTACACAAGAGCCGGTGCCAGCATAGCATACGACAAAACTTATTGGCAGACAAATCAAAATGACTCTCCCACTTCACAAGGACGGTTTCTCGTTTAAAATGTGCAATAGTACAAAAAAAAACAGTCAAGTTCACACATCCACAGCAGACATAAAAGATAAAAATTACATGAATTATCTATTAATAAGGTGGCAAAGTCACAGGGGTTAGAACATGACCACAACGTGTCAGATTTTATTACAGAAACATCTCAAAATCACTGATAATGTAACAGAAATACGTATTAAAGAGTGACAGTGTTTCCTGCCTACTATATCTCATCATCAGCAATTCAAGTACTTTGTATATGGATACCCAACGAATTTAAGCAAAGCATGGTTTGCAACTTAGCTTCTGATTATTCCACTTGTGTTCTTTTCATGAGCACACATGAAAACCAAATGGACCATAAATGATCAAACTATCTGCATGTTTAGATACCTTTTTTAAATATGTGAGAGAGTATATACTATATTATGTGATTTGGGTGAACTTTACTAACACCGTATAATTTCCGTTTCATTAATAACGGCAAACAAAACATGCATCTTTTGAGAGACTTGTTATTGTTTGAAATTCAAACAACAAGTCATTAATAAGTAAATAATGTAATTTTAAAGTCACAAATTGCAGGTTACCTTCAAGGAACATATTTTTTTAGGTTAGGTTTTTAAGTAATTGTCTGATTACACGTTTATTATTTAACTGTGTTAATGGACAATCATTTGGTCGTTTTTTAATTAATACGTACTGAGATCGGATATCAATAAATATCAAAAGTTTAATGAAGCATTTTGCCTTCTCTTTATTTCGTTTTCCACATTTAAATGGACCGTAACATTAGCTTGACATGCTATTAGTGTTGTGTCCGTGTTCGGCTAACGTTACGATAATGTCTTGTTACGTCTGAAGAGAGGAAGACGCTGGTGGCAAAACTAAAAATAGACCGCTGAAAAATAGACACGCTCGTTAATGTTCACGTTAAGCAACGTGATCCACAAACACCACCGACTAGTATTGTAGTCACGCTACATTACTCATTTATAATATAGAGGCAGTGAGTGACGTTAGCTTCTCCCAGCTTCGTGTTTCCTAGCTTAGGCATTAGCAATCCGTATGCAGGGAAACGCGTTAAAACTATGTGATGTAAGCAGTTATATGGAACAATATTCGGTAAAACGTAACTAACACCTTTTTTTGTGTCCATCTCTAATTTGGGAATCACTCGTAACGCTTCCGTTCAGTTAGCCATTTTGGTGATGTTTGCTAACTACCTAGCATTCTGTTAGCTTCACCATGAGTGCACACGCCAGAAGCGTTAAAACGACAACATACCTGGAGTCGTCTGCGATGTTTCTGACGAAGAGAGATGTATTAGGCGGCCTCAAGTACCTCGCCATGTTTTTAACGGCCCGTTGTTGTAATTATGTGGCCGTGAATTTGTTTACTATAGCAATTTTCTTTTCCACAAACCCTAACGGCTTTAACGTCACAGCAACAAGACGGGGACTGCGTGGTCTAAGTGGTCCCTTCGCAGTGCGCATGCGCACAGATGTACAGTCACGAAGGCAAATGGGCGCGCGCGCGCACGCACACAACCTAATCGATCCAATGACTCTATTATTTCATTTTACATGATTCCATTGCTTTTTTGCATAGCAGGCATCTATGTTCACTGGTTGTGTGTCAGACTTAAGCCAATAATGATGTTGGAAGTATAGGAAAAGAGTGCCATTTGCTCAAAAAAGATAACACAATTATTCAGTAACATTTTTATTTAAATAGAAATTGGTTTCTTCACTGCCAGGTTTACATCTTTTTGCTCTTCCTGATGAGAGTTGTTGAGCCCATGGTCAAGGTCTGAAATGGGACACAGGAAAAGAAAACACATTTCATTTGTGGCCAGGAGACATTACATTACATGTTAGCTTAGGATACATCAAGGTGAAACAGAACGAGTGAGTTCTTGTATATACCGCACCTCAACCATCTCTCCTCCCTTGATCTCTTGGATGTGGCAGGTTTTGCCAGTGTTGCAGACCAGTTTGCCACCCTCCAGATTGACAATGCACTGCAGGTCAGAGGAGGAGACAATTCATATCACAAAAACCTGAAGAGGCAGGACTTCATGAGACAGGGTTCACTTGTAGGCAGTACTCTATAACATTTTTCGGGGGGGGAGGATTACACACAGATTATACTATGAATCAGATAAGAAATCATATAGAATTCAACAGTGATGGGACATAAAAATCGACGGTAAACTATAAGTACAAACCTTGAGCTTCTTGCCGTCCATGGTGGTGATGTCAGCCTCCTTTCCGATGGTAAAGGTGTTGGTCACAGTCTTTCCGGGTGTCTTGGAGGTGACAACAAAGTCATTACCTTTCTGCTTGATCTCAGTAATGGGCTTGATGTCCTTGGCCATCTTGATGACCTCCTCTGGGAGTTCTGGTAAGCAAAGCACATGTGTTTTTGTTAATTCCTGTACTTACAAGTGTCGCCTGTGTGGTTACATTTAACATTAGAAGGATGTCGCCGCATCAAAATAGCCACTTTGTCTTTAGCTTCCAAAGATATATAAATGTATTTATATTCTGAAATGCCAACCAGAGTCACCGGTTTCTTTTCTCACCCATGGCCTTGAGGAACGCCTCGTAGTTCTCCTGGGAGTAGACCTGCCATGTTCCATTGAAGTCCATGTTCTCGAGAAGATCTGGGTTCTCGTTCACCAAGGTGGGCTGGAGGCTGAGACAGCTGAAGCTCAACACAATGTGGAGGATGTGACTGTTGTGCTGCACCTTCTTATACAGGAAAGCAAGTGTCTAATGAGTAACAAACCCCCTCTGGAGTAATCACTGCTGTTTGAACAACCTGGAGTTCACTTACTCCTGTTGGGACAAAACCTTGGCTTCCACCAAAGAGGAATTTAGATGGCCATTTCTGTCACATGTGATCAAAAGTTTAACTGATAAGAAAGATGTACAGACTTTTTGTTTTGTATTTCAGAATTAAAATTACATTTATTTACATGATCTTCATTTACTGGGAAGTTCACAGAGCCCCGAGTGGAGTTTGAGGATTTTAACCCGCTGGATCAAAAAGAGACAATGATTTATTTAATGCACTATCAGACATATTTATATGTATTTTATTTCAGGACTCATTCATTGAAGATTAGACGAACTACATGCATGGCTGCAACCTTTCCTCAGTGTGTCGTTTAACCTCTAACGTGAGTCTCCTGACTGAGGCCCAGGAGGTTAATGACACTATGGACTGTTTGCTTTTTTAACAAGACATGATCTCTGCCTGCAAAATCATACATAAAGAAAGCTGCAGACCACATTTTCTTTCATACTTAATCCAAATGAGGTAGTTTACTAATTAGGAATCTGAAGATGTAATATAGTATATGTGAGTGCTGTGGAAAATGAGTGAATAAAATAAAATAAAAGATTAAAGTTGCTTTATTCACAACACACACAGAAACAAATGACACACCTGGTTTACAAACCGCTCTACAGACCGGTAGGGTTTTGCACTTTTCCTTATGATAGATTCTTAGTGAACACTTAAAACAAGACACTTATATAATAAAGGTTCAACGATAAAATGTAATGAGACAGTAGCACAAGAAGAAGTCGGCAAAAGTCAAAAATCGGCAAACTGGTTCTCTCAATCAGCAAGCTAATGTTAGCTCATTTATGCTACTGTGAGCTGACATCCAGGTGCTTATAACATATAAGTTAGCGGACATACCAGACCAAGTAAGTCTGTATAGCAACGAATCCTCTGAGTGTATTTTTAATTGAATATATTTTAATTGATTAATGGTTCATTTTACTGCTTATGAATTCAACTTGTTATTTGGGGGAATTGGTGCAATTTCCTCTTTCAAAATAATCAGCTCAATCATTTTGATAAACAAAACTTTGCAATTCTGCATCTCCATTGCAGGAAAAGCCTGACATTTTCTATTGCATACACTGTTTAGAATTTAAATGATATAGACAGTTTGCAATACAGGCAATCACATAATTGATCAAACCTTAATGGACATTTTTCAAATCCCAATAAAGTTTCCTAACACATGAACAATCCAGCATCATTCCATCTCATCATCTATCAATCCATCCACCTTCAACTTCTTCTTTCTCTCCTAATTCAGATGGAAAATCACCATCTCAAGCATAAAAACCCATCTCCACAGCGTGCGCTGGCAGCTTATCCCCGTGCTTGTAAACGCTCACGGTCACGTCGACCTTCTCGGAGCCGTACTGGTTGCGCACGAAGATGCTGTATTTTCCAGAATTCGCCATGTTGACGTCGTTGATGGTGATGGTGCTGCACTTGGGCTCCCTAGTGAAGGTAAACTGCGTGTGGTTCGCGATCTCCTTGTCGTTACGAAGCCAGATGACCTCTGGGGCTGGTTCGCCGTCGATGAAGCACGTCAGACACAGAGACTGAAGAGAGGACGAGGAGCAGTCAGGAAAGTGTGAAATCAAAAATGAAAATGTTAGGCCTTCAACCACACAAAAATGATGACGATAACACCACAATATAGTATAATTGAGTATGAATGTGTCTCTAAGTAGTACTGCTTCCATGACAATGTCGTACCTTGCCTTCCATGATGGCTACCACATCAGGAAGACCTTTTGTCACTTTGGCCCGATCTGAAACAAAACAAGTGACAATAACTCCCTGCTGACACACACTGTAGACTCCTTGAACCTTTGTTGTGGGCAGAAATATCTCAGGATTCACACATAACCCGTGACTCACTTTTCTCAGCAATGGCCCCTTGCCTGAGGGACGAACACAAAGGGTCAAATCAATATGACGTTGCACGGCGTCAGGCAACAATAATCTGTCCTGAGATGTTTTCAACTAATAGTTTGTTACCTCTGACTGCTCAGTGTTTTCTGTTAGTGCCACTGCAAGCCATGCTAGACGCATCATCTACTGCATGTAGCGCAGCACTTACTTCAACCTCTGGTGCTCCAGCAAGGCATCCGCAAACACTATTGAAGAGGAAAATAATCAAGATTATTATTTATCTGCTATGAAATTCTTTTCTTAATCTGAAATTGTCTTTTAGATCCTTTAGAGCAAACTTTCCACCCACCTTGTCCAGACAGGTCGAGATACCGTTTGTGTGTCTCTTTGCCGTCGAACATCTCCAATGTGTATTTGCCTTTATCCTTCTCTGTTGGGTTACAGATTTCAATCCAGACTCTTTCCGCATTGCTGCCAGGCTTTGTCCTGGTTTCCTGGTCAATCCTCTTCTCCCTGCACGGAAGGAAGCAAACACATTCCTTTGTACGTCAGCTTTACACCGAGACTTACAAAACATGGTATGGACATAATCCTGATTTTCCCCTGGACCAAAGCACTGGTCTTGGATCTAAAAAACGAAGTGCATCTTTTTCTTTCTTATCACATCTTTATGAGTCAGAGGAAAGTAATGTGAACTCTGAAAATTCAGCTGTAGTGACATGTTACAATTCAGACTGGAATCACACAAAACTCATTTTATTCAGGACTAAAAACACTTGTCTGTCTGCATCACACTAGTCAGATTTCCTTCAGCTGTTTGTTCTCTTTTGTAAAGGCTATCCTCAAAGCCCCCAGCAGGTGGGGCTAGTAGTCTTACTATGGAAACCGATTTCACCCTGAACCATGTCATAATCATGTTTCAGTTCTCCCTTTAAATAATTAAAAATGTATTAAATCTAATGTCACAGAGTCTTTCAATTAGATAAAATGCAAATGCACATGCACGATAGTTTAACAATCAATCCAGTGGAACAGCTTTCTCTCTTTCATATTTCTTATTTTATGGACAGTTCATTTTATTCATCTATGCAAAACTCAAACTGATATAGTTGGCATGTTTAAAAACTTTAAGCCTCCTCTAGAAGTTCTGGGGTTTTCAAAAATGTTTGGCTCCACAGAATTATTGGTATTGATCGATCATAACAGATGATAAGTAGGATGACCAGATGTGCCTAAAGCTGCCACATGAGAATGTTTGCATGAAGACAAGACATCGAGATCCAGCTCTACTTTCACCTCTAAATCCTGAACTCTTTAAGCTGTAAGTAGTTGAACTTTGATACTCATTTTAGAGGCTGATCTTTAGTAAAGGAGCCCTAGATGTTGCCACCATGAAGAGAAATGTCACAGTACATTAAAATAGTTCTGAACTTTAATGGGTTTGTGTGTGTGTGTGCATGTGAAGCAGTCAAGTCAGTATGTGTGTCTTCTTTTTATGCTCTATAGTCTGCTACTGTGCCTGTGATGTTTACCTCCAGTAATAGTCCACTTCTGTGGCTTGCGTTAAACAATGTGACCACACTGCTAGATGTTCTGAACACAAAATCAACATTAAGCTACTTTTCATTTGCTTTTGGAAGAAGATGCACTTAGGGTCTTAGGTCAGAGAGGAGCTCTGCATGTGGACTCACTTGAAGAGCCAGCTGGTCTTCAGGTAGGTTATATAGTATTTGAGTGAGCAGTAGAGC